AGCTGCATGCACTGGAAGTCCCAGTAAGGGAAGCCAGGAGATCAGATCACGTGGGTGCTTCTGCTCAGGAAGGCAGACTGAGGGAAAGCATGCCATCAGAACTCTGTGGCCCAGTGGGGGACATGCCCCTCAGAGGGCCTCCTGGATGCTTCTCCAAGCCACAGAGTTTGGAGGCTGCCACATCCCAGAAAAGGTCCTAGGAGATGGCTTGTTGATCCCCTGGAAGCTGGGACTAATGAGTAATTGGAAGCTGGCACCAAGGGAAGGGATAACCTCAATGCCCTTTGCATCAGAAGTCCCCAAAAGGGGGTGGGGAAGAGAGGATTGCAGGGTGGATCACAGACATTCCTAGGTGGGCACAGCTCTTCGTGTTATAACTGGAGGCCCCAATTCCCTCCTCCACCCTGGACCTGAGCAGATCAGGATACCCAGACAGCGATCGCTTGTTAAGGGAAGATTCTGGAAATAAGCCAGATGGCTCTGCTGGGTTCTGGGAGTTCTGGGTTCCCTGGAGGTGGTGGTCTTGATCCGGGAGGACAGGGAAGCAAGGCTTTCTCGTGGTAGGCCAAGACCCAACAGCAGGACACACTATAGACTTGACAATTCGGGTGCTGGGGCTGATGTGGATTTGGTCTTGACTGTATGGGGCAGGAAGTCCCGCTCTGGGAGGTGGCCCAGGGGTTGGGAGACAAGTTGGTTCCCCTGCAGGTGTGACTGAGGACCCATTCCCACGGCTCTAAGATCACTCCTGTTTTCAGAAGCAAATTTTCTGCCACCGAAGCGAGTTGCTAGGTACCAGCCTTGTTGTTAGTGGGGAGATTGCAGCAGTGTGTGGCTCCTTTTTCTCTCGTTCTTGTCCTCCTCTTGTCAACCTGACTTCCAGGCTCTCAGAACCCTGCTGCTTCAGTATTAGTGGGAGATGGGATTGACGCTTAGGAAACCGAGGCTCCCTATAAGGAGCATCATCTGTATGCAGCAGACTTCAATCTTGGGACTTTATTTAAGGGCATCAGAGTGGTGTCTGGCCACTGCTGATGTTCATCAGGCCACTGGGTTTTGTGGCTGAGCACAAACAAGGGAGCATAGGGGCCAATGCAGCCAAGGAGAACTTGGCAGAGTCTGGGGCTCTAGCCTTCCGGTGACATCATTGTCCCAACCTGCCAGGATGAGTCCCGCACCCCAGAGATCTGGCTTTCCTGAGCTTTCTGCTAGGGAGAGAGATGGAAACAGAGGGTGTGTGTGTGTGTGTGTGTGTGTGTGTGTGTGTGTGTGTGTGTGATTAATGGGGCTGGTGGGGAGTGGGGAAGGAAGAGAGGTGGTACTTTCTTTTTTCTAACAGTAAATCCTGCCCAATAAACCCCCAAACCAAGGAGCCACACAGAGTTCGGTGGATTAGAGTGAGTTCAAGTCATTTATTTTTAGACTGTACCAGCATGTTTGGTTCTGGGGTCCCAAACCCCAAATTCCAGAAAAATAAACTAATGAGAACCACATGCACTATGAGAAGGCCATTCCGACGTGTCCGTGTTCATGCTGTGAGTGAGCATAGTATATAGACCAGGAGCCCTCCCTGGGCAGGTGACAGCAGCTGGCTCTGAGCCCTCCTTGGGACTGGGGAGAGGGCCAAGACCGGATCATTTGGACCCCGTCCCTTTAAGGCCCCAAGCCCCTTATTGCTACATTTGCTACTTTGCTACTTGATGGCCCTTGGGTCGTGCCCAGGGGAGGCCTTATCACTGGGTGGTACTAATGAGGAGGCTGCTGGCATTTGTCCTTGCCATCATGACCATAGCACAGAACTCTTTTCAGAGGGTCTCGGGGTGAGTTATGGGGGATTCATTTGGCCACTGCTCAACTGTGCCACATACTCAGCTTGACCAGCTCTGCTGGAAGCCGGTGGCCCATTATCTCCCCCCAACCCCAGGGCTTTCCAGCTCCTGGACCTTCCTGGAACATCTCCTTCTGACATATTCTGCAAGGTCCGAAGACCAAGAGCCTGCTATCTTTTCCAGCGTGGGGCAAGGCTTCTTAGTGGTGGCTTTTGAAGCCCATGCATTTGGAGCACAATGGGAAGGGTGCATTTTAGGAGGAACATCAATTTCCACCAATAGCCAAAAGGCCGGCTGGGTGGCAGCCTCCTGGTTCAGTGTCCTGTTGGTGAGGTAGTTTGAACACACCAGCAATCCTGCCAGGAGAAGCACGCCTGGAGCACGTCCCCACACGTCCACTGGTCTCAGCAACAACCTGGAGTGGTGAGCGGGGCCCTGGGGGTTTGGCCTGGACCTGACCCCTCAGCCTTGGTGGGCCAGGGGCACCACTCACCTGACTGCCCTGGGGGACAGCCACACCTGACAGTAGAACAAAGCATCACTTTCTGGAAGGGAAGGAGCCCTCTCCCCAGCGAAAGTGTTCCTGCTGCTTGGGCTGAGCCCTCCGGCTGTTGCCGAGCACCTGCACTTGCCAGCCTCCAAGTTTTCTTCTTCCCATGAGGCAAAGGTGATCTCAGTCTGATGTCCAGTGCCTGGCGCCCGTGCGTCTGACTTGCTGGCTGGCTGGTTGCTTCTGTGGCTTCCCTGAAGCTTTGGCTGTGGGGCTGCCAGCATGATCTGTGTCCTGGGAGCTCTCAACGGGAAGAGTCCCAGGTCCAGAGACTGTGCCCAGTCAGGGGAGCTAAAGAAGCTTCCGGAAGCAGGGGGACCTGCTTTGCTATGGAACTGCCTTCAAAAGTCTAATCCGGTTTGAAGTTTTGGCTGTGTAGACCAGGCCAATGGGGAACTAGCCAAGATCATATTTTCCAGGTGTGCTTGCATTCTAAGGTCTGCACAGTAGACTGACCTTGGACTGGCCAACTGGGCAGAGCAACCCCACCCTCCACCCCCCGCGTTGCTTGGCTTGATCTACTGGGGAGCATGTGGTGGTAACAAGACTGAGCATGGCTGCTTGGGAGATGGGGTGACGGGGTTTATTGCTCTGGGTCTGAATGCATCCGGAACACCCTTACCTCTATTGAGCCTGCTGGCCCGCCCTTCCCTCCGGATGTCCCCAGGGGTGTTTGGAAACCTTCAGCCTGCACCATCTCAGGGGTACAGTCCACCTGGCTCTGGGTGGGCCTTCTGAGGACCTCCAGGGCTGGCCACGTGTCGGCCAGTATCGCTCGGAAGCAGAGGCCAGGAGGACTGGGGAAGCCAACCCTGCCCTGTCCACAGCCCATGGGGAAAGGCAAGAGGCAGCTAGGCCTTTTCTAGAACATCCTCTGTCCACATACCCTGTGCCTCAATGTCAACACAGCTTGTGGACCCTTGACAGAGAGGAGCTTCTTTGGGGCGATGTTGGTTGCAGAAAAGCTTGGGCTGCATTTTGGTTCTGAGAAAGGAGCCCTGTGTGAAAAGCAAGGAGATAAAAATGGGTGGGACAAGGAGAGGAGTCCAAAGACCCCATAACATGGAATAGGGCTTCCTCTCATTCACTTACTCATCAAGTAGTTACCGAGTATCTACAAGGGCCAGGACCCATGCTGAGGTTATGTGGAACCAGGGTGTGGGAGTGCCTGACGGGAATCCGGGTCTATATTGCCACTGCTGGGGAGACAACCTGAGGACCCAACACATGTCATCTACTAGCTACTGTACCTGGCAGAGAGAACAACTACCACCAGTGGGGGAAACTGAGGCATAGTGGTCAAGAACCCACAAGGGTGCCACCCTAGCCAAGTCTCCTAATGCCCACAGTGGCCCTGCTGTGAGGAATGGAAGGCTGGTGCCATGGGGATAGGGCCCCGTGGAATCAGACATACAACGGCACAGACATGGGGCTGCAAAGATGGTCACGGAAGCACCCAGGAGGCAGGGTCTGCAAAGAAGCTTATGAGCCTTTGGTCACCAGCTAGTAAATTTGCCTACATGAGTAAAGAAATACCAGTGATCACTTTTTTTTTTTTTTTTTTTTGCTTCTCTGTTTGCTGTTTATACACTCCCCAGGGAAAATTTTCACCTATGGCCAAAAATAGATCGAAGGAGGCTAGTTCTAGCAGGTGAAGTGAGTGTCCGAGTTCAAAAACATGTCGCTTAATACCGCTCCGTCTGAGGGCTCACAGGGGTCACGATGGTGACAGTGACAATGAGGAGAGTAATAGCTACCATTTGCTAAGCACCTACTACGCACCAGGCACCTGATTCAGTGCGTTACATATATTACCTCACGGCCAATTGGCAGATAGTCATTTTGACATACACATGAAGGGAGCACAAGTGGTTTTTTTTTTGCAGGTTTTGCTTTGTGTCTGCTTTTTTCCCTTGAGGACCAACTCTGTTTCGCCTTGCCTTTGCTGGGCTGTCCGAGAAGCATCTGGCTCTGGCCTAGGCCCTCTGTCGCAGGTTCAGCCCCAACTCCAGACACAACTGAGCCCATCAGGATGCCACAGGGTGGGCCCCAGCTGCCAGCTGGACGACTCAGCCACCTCCCCCCAACCCCGGGGCCGGGAACTCTCCCAGCTTCCACCGGGGCTGCCGGAGGGGAGGATCCCAGGGGCCCCTGAGTTCATGGCCATGTTTATTTTGAGTAAAACACGAGGGAACAAGCCAAGGAGAAGGGGGCAAAAACAGAATGAGTTAGGAAGTAATAAATGTTTTAAAAGATGGTCAGAACCTCCACCGCTGTCAAGCTACAAGCTCTTTCAGGGACGCCGGCGCTTCCTCTGGTGTGGGACCCTTGAGGCATGTGACAGGACCAGAGGGCAGCCCTGCGCCCGTGGGGACCTCTTGGAAAGCCGGCCTCCGGGGCGCTGGCAGAACTGAGGCAATCCGCGAGGTTGCTCAGCACGGTCGCCACGACGGGGACGTGTGGCGCGGGGGGCCTTACATAGACTTGGGGCGAGGCAGGGGGCCGTCGGGACACAGTGGCCGTCACTACGGGGGTGTGGTGGGTGCCCCAGAGCCAGACCGGGGGGGGGAGGCGGGGCGTAACACTGGATGTGCTCGGGGCCAGCCGGTCCCTCTCGCGTGTGCCAGAAGGCGTGATCCCCCAGAGGGGAGAGTGGCGGGAACAAGATTAGAATCTCAAGTGGTAGTCACGAGAGGAGCCCCACGAGGTGGTGTGCTCCGAACGAGTTAGGGCCCGACCTCCTCGGGAACGGGGTGTCGGCGCACAACTGTACAAGGAAGAGAGGGTTGTAAACAGGGCCGACCCCGGGCTCTGTGGACTTGCTCTCTCTCGTGTCCCCGGTCACCCACCGGGGCTCCCCTCTGCCGCCCGTCCTCGCCCTCACTCCTTCTCTTTCACAGTGACCAGGTCTCCCCGTAGGGAGACTCTGTCCGCGGAGGTGGAGCGCCGCCGCCTGCCCGTGGGGTCGTCGGGCCCGGGCCCTGCGGTGGGAACCGTCAGGAGGACTGCATCAGGCCGGTGAGGCGCTTGCCCGCCAGCGACTTTCCCTGCAGAGACAGGCGACAGAGTTGGCACGCACAGGCGCGCACGCTCACGCACACCGCGCGCACGCACGCACACGCACCCCCACGCACACGCACGCGCGCGCGCGCGCACACACACACACACACACACAGGGACAGAGACCGAGACAGAGAGCCAGACAGGTGAATTAATTGCTGCACGAGCCCCGAAGGCCAAACGACTTAGCTAACGGACCCTGCTGATCTCTGGGTTCGGGGCCTTGACCGCAGACAGTTGGAACAACCAGGGCTCTGGGGCAGGGGGTGGGGAGTGGGGAGTGAAGGTGTGTTGCTGGTCCTCTTTTTGGGGTGTGGGAATTTTACTTACCCCCAAACGAGGCATTTTCACTCTTAGGTAGAGTGTCTCTTAATGCTTGTGGGCTGCCCCTGAACTTGATTTCATTCAAGCGAGGAAGGAAAAGGTGGACTGAGGAGTAGTAAGATCAGGGAGGGTGGGTTGACCCACACAGGTGATGGTGAAGGATTTGGGTGACTAGAAGCTAATGAGTGAACTAGCCTTAAGAATGCAGGAGACCTAGGATCCTGTCTGAAAGGCAGGATTGAGCCCTCCCCGGGAGAGACACACAGGTGTGGCGACCTCTTGATGACAGGTTCTAGGACTGTGGAAATATAGGGGCCTGCGCCAAGGCTGGGAGCCTGTGCTGGCAAACGGGTGCCACCACAGGCCCCAGGGCAGCACGCTCCTGCCGTGTCCTGTGTTCCTGGCTCTCTGTTTGTGGTACCCAGGGGCTGAGTTTGATGACTCCACGTCGGGACATCTATAAGCCCTTCACTTGCCATGTAGCAGTTCTTGAAAATGAAAAAACTGAACTGGACCATGAGGCCTGGTGCATGAGGCACTGAGATCTTGAGAGAGGCCAGTGACTCCTGTGCCTGGGAGGAGGTGGCCGAGGAGCCTCTGATGTGGGATCGGGCACCACGAGGATGGATGAGGAGGATGAGTGAGTCTCGTTCTGCTTATTTCCCTTGACGCAGCCTGTGCCCATTCCCTGCTCACCCTCTAAAGAAATCCAGAACATTGGACAGGGGTCTAGAGGAGAGTGTGGCTGGACCCGAGCAGACTGATCACTGTGTCTGAGAAAATACTCAAAACCCATGCTATTATTGACAGCCGGTCAGCTAAACCATCGCCATCTGCAAAGGGGAGCACGTGGTCCTCATCAGCATGGGCTGTGGTGTTTGGTAGTGAGGGACTGCAAGGCCAGCGGCCCCTCATGTTCATTTCCAAGTGGGGTGTGAGGGCTCATCTTGTTTACTGGGCTTGGCTGAGTGCAAGCTGGATGTAATTAAAAAAAATTGATCAGGTTTGTGAAGCCTGGTAGAGTACTCAATAAACCGGCTGATTGATGAATTGATGGATAATGGGTGTATCTAGTAAATGAACAAGGGCTGTGAGTTTGCTGGATGCAAGACAATGTGTCATCTGGCTTAGCTCTCCATAGAGGGACGTGCCAGCTTGACTTTGAGAATTCCAGTGGCATGCACGGGACCTTGTCCAGAAATGGAACTGCCCTCGGGAGCTGTTGGAAAGTCTGCATAGACATCCCCTTGCTCTTCTTCCCCTTTTATTTCACCCCGCATTTTCACTAGTGAGACAAAACTTCATTTTTTTCTCCCCTATTTTAAACACATGTGCGCGCGCGTGCGCGCACACACACACACGCACACACACACACATACACACACACAAAATCTCCCCAATAGCAACCTTATCTGAATCTTCAAATACACTAAACTTAGCCTGCAGCAGGCTACATTTATACCAGGGTAAGGATTTTTTAATCAGATTTTTTTAATCCTAGAGGGTTCCAGTGCCAGTCTTTGCAAATCACTAAAAGCAGGGTGGCTATTTCCCTGTGTAGAGTGGGTTAGGTGGGACAAGAGCTCACAGCTGGCAGAGGCTGCCCTTCAAGGACTTGCTCCAGCCCTGGTTTCTAAGGCACACACATGGCTGGTGCTCTCCTTGACTGCCCTTTCTTAGATGGAGCTCGAGGCATTTGTCATCCTGTTGGTTCACCTGGGACTGTGCCTTCTTGATGCAGGCCTGAAGGCAGCAAGTGTGGGGACGTGTGTGAGGTCCTCGGGGGAAATGTGAAGCTGATGAGTCTAGGGGCCTCCTGGTCCAAGAGTTGTAACAAACCTCCCCCAGCCCCTTCACCCATGTCCATCCCTGCTCATGGGAAAGGCACTGCGGGATTTTGCTTGCCTCTCGGTGCCCCTTATTGCTGCAGTAACCACACCCCAAATACTGGCTCCTCCCCTTCTCCTTCTGTCCCTTTTCCACCAGGGCAACAAATCACATCTTGTGTCACCAAATATATATGTTTTGGTTTTGCCATACATGGTATTCGGGCTCGGATTAAGCTGGCGGATGTGGAAAAAAAAAATCACTAAAGCTCCTGAATAACGGTCTATTGCTAGCGTGTATGGTAAGAGCCCAGAAACAAAGAAGGTGAGGTTTACCAGACATCCAAACCCTCATTATGGCTTCTTCCTCATTAGTGAGGTCATTTTGGCTGGAGAGGGGGCTGTAGGTTGAGGGAGGTTGAAGATTCTGTATCTGGATTATTATGGAACTGTCCATCTGTTTGAGGTGCCTTTGGGCCCGAGGTCCTCCACCCTCCACCCCTCCCTGTTCTGTAGAAGGGGCTGGGGTGGGCTTGGAGGCGCTAATTAATCTCTTCCTGCTTGAGTCCTGGAGCTCAGCCTCATAGCTCTGACTCCAAGGCCCTGTGGCCGGCCGTCAAAGCCTCCCCCTCCCCTTGCCCCAGCTGCTTCCATTTCTCAAGACTTCAGCCTAGAGAACTTGCCCTGAGATTGTTCCCAGCCTCTCAGCAATCCAGGTGGTGTTCCTTGGCATTTTTGTCTCCCTCCCCCCACCCCTGCACACACACATTTTTCAAATGCCAGTTCTGTTGCTAAAGGAGGTCGTGAGGTTTCAGGTCCCCTCAGGGGGCAGCTCAGTCCAACTGCAATCTGTCCGCTACTCAGTGACCTCCCGGGTGGGGCTGGAAGGTGGTTATTCATGCAGGACGCAGGCATGGCTAGATGCCTGGCCTTGGGTTTTGGGAAGGAAAGCCTGCAATCACACTGGCTCAGCAGCTGCCTCTCTTCTGAAGAGCTGAGGCTCCTGTAATTTTCAGGGATCAAAGTGAAATCTGACAGCAGAGGCTACCTGTGTTCAGAGATGAGCTGCCCCCAGGTCTATGCTGCTAGGGGCTTGCTGGGAGCCCCTGAGCTACCTGCTCTGTCCAGAGAGAAGAGAGCTCCTGCCCTGCATACTCTCGGGCTCTTTTCCTCCCTCTTCTTCGCCCCCTTCCCTGCCTCAATCGGATGATGCTGTAGGAAGCTCTTAGGAAAGGGAGTGTGGTAATTCTATTTCTGCCCGGCATCTTGCATAGTTACGGGGGAAGCCATTTTTTCAGGGTGTGAATGTGTGATGTTCCCCAGCGCCGGTCGGTTGGGAATGGATCATGGTGCCAGGAAGGGCAGCCAGCTCAGCCTGAGGCCTTGTCGTAGCTGAGCGAAGCAGCTGAAGGTGGTTGAAAATGCTATTAGCAGGCAGCCTTTGTCCAAGTGAAAAAATACACAGTGATTAAGAACTGAACTGCAGAAGGTGCATTCCAGAGACACCAAAGCTTTGCATACAGACAAAGTGCTTTTCTCCTTTGAGACATTTGGCAAAGTTAACCCAAGAGGATCAGGATCCTTCAATTTCATGGACTGGGTTCACAAAAGTCCACCCTCCACCCTGACTAATCATTTCAGCTCTGTGGCCATCTTGATGGCTAGAAGCCTGGAAGAAGGTGGTCATGGAATCCTTCATTTCTAAAAGGAAATGCACAAAAGGAATGTCTCCCTTTTGTGCCATGCTTTAAGAAAAATCAACATGCTGCTTGACATGCTGTGGCTCTGTGCATTGCACTTCCAGATATTAATCAACAAAGCATGCACGATCCGGGTTACCAAGAGCTTTCGCCACTTACTTACCTGGGACACTGATGCTACACTCTTTGGCTGGGAGGAGGGCTGTGGCTCAGAGAGTAACCCTGGGGGTTACTGGGGTTAGGTGGCATATTGGGGACAGCAGAGCCAAGCACTAGGGACTCAGGCAGGACCCTTCTCAATGCTAAGGGAGTAAAGACATCTGAGCTGCTGATGAGACTCTCAAGCTGACTTGCCTAGATGACCAAAGACCAAAGTTACAGATCTCAGGTCCACCCAGTCTAAATCCATGTTACTATGGGGATAGAAATCAACTGTGGTTGTCTCTGGAGGAGAAGGATGGAATTGATTGGAAAGCGGCATGAGGGAACTTTCCAGGACCATGGGGCGTAGGTGACACTGGTGCATAGATTTGTTAAATTCATTGAACCACACACTTCAGATCTGTTCATTTTGCTATCTGTAATTACCCTCAAAAGAAAAAAAATATCGGGAAACAATCCAGCTATCACATCTCTGCTTTGAAATTTCCCACTCCTTATTCTTTTTCAGTTGCGGGTCCTGTGACTTTGCCTTTTGGCTCAATCCGGGGCTTCCTACTCCAGTGTGGGAGAAACCCGGTTCCTCTGTGAAAAGAACTGGAACTAGGACCAATCTGGAGCACTGTGTCTAGTGCCTTGATCCAAACTGATCACCTTGCTGTGATATAGGCATTTTTCATCCCTGCTAATGAAAATAGGGTTTTGCTGAATGGGCCTCACCAAATGACCTCAGTAGGCAAGAAGTGGGAGGCTCCAGAGATGAGCTGTTCTCTCAAGGAGACTGAAGGTTACCCATGAGTAGATATGATGCTCGGGTTCATAAATGATGAGTGAGCATGTGATCGCAGGCCTGGGGGGGCCTTGCTGAGGGAAGCAGTCAGGAGCCTAAGAGCCAGGTGGGGAGGTAAGGGTCCTGGCTTGGGTTTGGCAGGAGGGGAGAAGTCAAGAACTTGCCTGAGTTCATCGGGTGACTTCCCTGGAGGTTGGTGCCCCCTGGCGCCCCTTCTCCACTGAACAAAACAAAAGGAATGATTTCAAAAGGGTGTATAAGGAATTCTGTGACATATCCTTTCTCGATGGTGTTTCAAGCTGGGGAGAGAGAGCCACTTGCTAGGGGTAGTGTAGGGGTTTTCGAAATTGGCAGAGGACTGGGAGGAAAATCCATACTTAATACAGAAGAGTTTCAAAAAACTTCTCAACTCTCCATCTCTCATCAACTCGCCCTCTTTTGAACTTCATGGCAAGGTGGGGCAGATGAAAGGGGGAAACCTGGTCTTGGGACTAGCCAAAGATCACACACTGCTAATCCACAGCAGGGCTAGGCCAGAGCCACACGGGGGGACGGGGGTGCTTCTGCCTTCCTCAGTCCTCAGTAGTGGGGGGCTGGAGCCTGTGACAAGATCCATTCCTGGGGTCTGTATTACTCCTGGGTTCTTGCAAAGCTTTCTGATCTCTCTCAGGAGCTGAAGGGCATTTTATTTGGCTTTAAAATATTTTATTTTACTTTTAAAAATAAGATACCACAAACATAAAACAATGCTCAAATAAAAAAATTCAAGAAATAGGTGAAACTTGAATTAATAAAAAAAAGTTCACTGGCTGAAGAATTAATATTCATTCTTGTATATTTAAACCTGTTAAAAAGTAAGGAATATGATCATAATAAAAATAACGGATTCTTTTGAAACAGGTCACTGTCGTAGGTACAGCGGTATAAACAACCGGATTTTGCCGTGCAAATTGTGGGTCTATGGAATCTACCTGTAGTCATATCTTCTGAAAGCAATTCCCATAAATGGTTACTGGGACTGGTAGGAGTTTCAGAAACCTTACTCTAGCCTATATTGGCAGCTACCAGTGCTTTTTTTTTCCTTAAAAAAATTTTTTTTTTTTTTTAATTTAGACAAGGTAAGTCGCCAGCGCTCCTAACTGTCCTAAATGTGAAAAGAACCAACCTATCCCATGATCTGTCTCCTAGGAACTTTCTCTTTGAATTTCTCATCCCTGCTCAATGGGCTGGCATCAATATCCCAGGTACACTCCCTTCTCAAGTGCCTTCCTCTTCAATCAGCACAGACCTTGATGGTGAGTGGGTGGCGATGGGCCCGTTACCAGGGGTACGGGTTAGCTACCCAGGACTGTAACTAACAGCCACCTGTCGACTGAACATTGAACCACTCTTGTGTGTCAAACACACCAGGCATTGTACAGACACTCGTGTTAATGTCCACACCCTCCTTGCCAGTTTAAAGTCTTAGGACATCTTAGGTTAAAGTCTTAGGATATATTATGTCAGGATCGATGAAGAAACAGGCTCATATAGAGCTCAAGCCCCTTGCCTGAGAGCATACAGCTAGTCAGTGGCAGAGTGCAGTGGGTCAGCCTTCATGGGCCGCACACTTTCTACTTTGTATGTGGCCATCCGTCTCAAGGAAGGAGGTAGATGGAAACCCTCAGAGACTAATGACTCCTCCCTGCCCATCTCCACTAGGCAATCTCTTTGGGCAGCCCAGGGAGATTTTCTTAACCTCACTGAGAAAGAAGCTTCCACCCCTGGACATGCCTGAGACCATCTCAAGCATTTCTGCTCTGCCTGAGGTTCTTCCCCTCCTCACATTCGGTTCTCCTGAGAGAGAAGGCGCCACCTTCTGGCTGGCAAGCCTGGCCAAGTGAGACTGGCTATTGCACCGAGCCGGGGCACCCGTCACCGCTGCTTGGGGCATGTGGCTTTAAGGTGTACCTGCTGGAGAGGCCAGGTGAAGCTACCACTTCTGTTTGTGCCCTCATGTTATTGGTGCTGCTGCCCCTGGGGTCGCCATAGCAACTGTCCCAGGGAGGAGAGGCAGGCGGAGCTGCCTTACTCTAATTAGAAACCAATTCCAATTAGAACCAAGTGCCTAAATCAGGGCGTCCCAGCCAGGCTGGGGGGGGAAGCCCTCTGTGGGTGTGTTCCTGGCCCCCAGACTCCTGCCCTCCATCGGGCTCATCACTTTTGGGGCTCTTTGCAACGGCCAGCCTCTGCCAGCTAATTTCGATGGGAGAGCTTCCTCCACGGTCCCCCAGCTAGGCAGGGACAAATCTGGAACCAGGCAGGCATGCAGGAGTGACAAGGGGGAGAGCAGCTGTGCCCTCTGCTGGGGGCACAATGCCCAGACACAGATTCCCCAGCTTCCTTCCCAAGCTGTGCATTTCCACCTGTGTTCTTCCTGTGCAGGAGCCATGCCCGCCCCCCACCTTTCATATCAGATCTCCATCTCTCCTTCCTCTGGTTCTGACTGCACAACCCTGGTGCTCTCTGTGTACTCAGCTTGCAGGGAAGCTCTTGGTGGATTCAGGAGTGGAGTGGAGAGGGGGGCATTTTGCCTGCGAGGCCCCTCAGAGGTGTGCCTTCCTTTAGCCCATGCAATGCCTTCCTCTGCCCCTGTTCCTCCATCTCTTCCCCAGAAGTACTCTAGGATCTTAGCTCTGGTTCACTCCAAATTAGGCAAAGGTCAAAAGACTTGAAACAGGGACATGGCTGTGTTGCTACTAGCTATATCGTGATGCTTTTTTCCAAGTAGGACGTTCAAGTGACCCTTGTCCATGGCTCCAGGGGAGAGTGTCACTGAAGTTTAGTGGAAGAGACAGCAGGAGGAATCACTTGCTTGGCAGTGTGTGACTCTCCTGCAGAACCACGGGGACTCTACCTCCGCCTCCCAAGGGCACCTCTCATCTCCTACACACGTGTTCACCCAAAACTCATCCATAGGTTGGGGTCCGTGGTTAAGCCAGCTGCCAAAGCAGAGCCTAGAAGGCACAGGCAGTCAACATGAGGACTGTCCCCCACCGCCCCAAAGCATAATCTTTCCATGAATGTCCATGTCCGTTTGGACACAAATGCAAAGGAGGCTGGCTTATTTCTCTTTCTTCCCTAGCACCAGGAATGCGCTGCAGCAGGCATTTATCACACATGTATTTCTAACCTGAAAAAGTGCGTCGGGGGATGGGTCAAGCAGCATTTTCAGAGATCTCTCGATAGAAACTTGGGTCAAGGGGTCTTCCCTACAGACCCTTTTTACATGTTGCTGCAATGCTTTTGGTGCCCGTGGGACAGAGGATAGGCGCTCACCCAGCCTTCTTTTCCCCTGATGGTCTAGGACGTAGAAATATGATTTCCAAGTTTCCTGCAGGACTTGGCCCTGGGTCACAGGGGAAGGGTTATGGAAGCTGTAAGCCTAAGGATGCTGCTGTTGGATTTAAAAGCATCGTCAAAGGTAGTGAGCATTTCTGCCCTGTTCTGCTAGGGGCCCGGGAGAAGCGATCCGTACCTAAAGACCTTATTTGCACATTGCCTCTGGGACAAGAGACTTACATCTTAGCATCATTTCTGGACCCCTGGCTCCTTGCCTCTTAGGAAGAAAAAACTTATGGGTGCAAAAAAAATGGTCAGAAAAATGGGGACACCAAAAACTAGATGCTGCTGACTGTTCCTGGAACGAGGGTGCGGGAACGAGAGTGATAGGCAGAGACAAGGCCACGGACAAACAGATCATCTCTTCCGGATTTTGGAGCACCTTCTGTGCAGAAGGATCCCAAAAAAAGGTTAGAGAGTGCGGACGCCGGGATCACTCACCCACTGCTGGAAGGAAGCCACCTCGGGGGTGAAAGGCAGCGGCCATTCTGACTCTGCGCCAGCAGCACTAGGCAATTGTGTTTTTAGGAAGGGAAGCGAAGAATAACTTATCCAGCTGAAACCAAGAATACCTGCGGCTTTCGGGGGGGGCCCCTGCCCAGACATGCGCACAGCGGCAGCGGGCATGCAAAGCGTGCGCAGAAGCCCATGCAAGTCCGCAGCGTATGGGACTCACGTCCCATACCCTGAACACAGAGGCCCAGGCCGGGCAGGCGGCGCATGCGCCCGTGCGGACCTCCGTGCGCACGTTCGTGCGCGTGTTTCCAGCATAGGCAGCCGCAGAAGCATCTCATGCAAGCCGGAGAGGCATCTCATGCAAGCCGCAGAAGCAGCCATGTGATTTGCTGCAGAGCTTTATATCAGGCTCCTAAAATGCCAATCTTTGACAAGCACTGCAAACTTAACGCATTTACTTTAAGATACATCTATAAAACCTGAATTCTCCCCGCCAGATGAAGCCATTCGTGTCAGTGGAAATGGCCTCCCCGCTTTGGTTTCTGTCAATACCACAAGCAGGAGAAGCATGTACCCCAGGGATCTGGTTTAGGAGGGATTTCAAAGCATCCCCGGCCACTTGCTTCTGACTCCTCCAACAACCCCACTTTGTAGTGTGTGGCTAAAAAAATACAAGCCTTTGTTGATCTGGCAGATGGAGAACCAGACTCAGCAAGACTGTATTGCTCAGGGTGGCCACAGGCAGGCAGACAGCTGAGAGGTGAGGTTTCTGGGAATGAGGCTTCTGTTGAGCAGAGCGCTACATCTGGAGGACTGCATTTCACACGCTTGTCATGGGAAGAACCACTCCTGATCTGTGTCTGGAAGCAGGAGGTGTCTCAGGGTTGTGCACCTCGGTGGGGGTGAGGGGGAGGCGGCAAATGCCAGATTCTGACAATGTATGCAACATTTTCTAGGTGGCTCTCCCCACTCCCAGCACCACACAGCTCTCACAGTCTCCTGGGAAGTGCTTAGGGGCCCCCAAGAAACTGACCACAGGGCAGAAGCTGGCCTGCCAGTCACCTGGGTCCCTCCATTCCCAGGGAAAGCAGAGAAACTGGCACTGGACTTTAAAAATAAGCCAATAATAACAGCTACCATCTATCAAGTCGTTCTACGAGCTGGTCACTGTGATAATTGGATGTGCCTTGTACACATTGTCATCTATGAGATACGCATGTAGCCATCCTCGACTGCAAAATAAATATAACGATACCTACCTCAGAGAATATTCTTGGAAATTAAGTAAGGTAATACGAGCTAAGCACGGGGGGCAAACAACAACGTAATAATGCAAATAGTAATACAAAGAGTTCCACTTGAGCACATATACTACAAACACTCTGCTAAGCATTTTTTCCCCTACTTAATCATTTACTCTTATCTCCCCTTTACAGATGAGGAAACTGAGGCTTAGAGAAGCTGTTAAGTGGTAGAGCTGAAGTTGAACCGAAGTCCCTTGCTGTCCAAGCTTAGCAGGTGCAGACACCCACAGTATAACACTGTGAGCCCCCAAGAAATGGCAGTAACTACTATTATGCCCTCATTCAGTGCCAGCATCCACCCTGTGCAGAAGGCTGGGGCTGTGTTATACCCGTCAGCCAAGTGAGCGGCTCCCCTGGGGTCTTATGCCAATCTCAGGTGGACAGACAGGAGTTAGCCAGGGCTGTCCATCTCTAACCCAGTCTGCTTCTGCGCATTCTGGCGGGGGGGGGGGCACCAAAGGGACATTTTTCTCAGGGCAAAGTGAGCAGGTGGTCTTTAGTAGGGGGTGAAAATGCAGTTGGAAATGTCACTGCCAAGTTTCAACATTTGGCTCTGGGTGGCTGGTGCTGCTTAGGCACAGCCCAGATGTGACTACCTGCTACAGCCGGGGTAAGGAGTGGTCTGGACAGCTCCGGGCAGTCAGCCACGAGGAGCTGCTCAGAGCAGGCGGGGGCAAGGTGCACCTCACTGTGGTTATTCATGCAGTCTGGGGGAGGGTAGAGAGGAAGAGGTCCCTGACACGAAACCTGAGCAAAGCTGCCAAAGGGCAGGTTGGGGGTTCCAGTGACCACCACCCCACCTGCACTCCTTCCTGGTGATCCTTCCCATAACATCCTACAGATCTAGAAACAATTTAGGAAAAGCTATCATTGAGAGCTAGCAAATGACGGGCTCTGGAGCTGTGTCATTACCAAGGAGACCGCCATCAAGTATAGGATCGCAGCGTTGCGATCACTCACAAATGCTAATGCTTGACTCCTTTACATATTTAGAAAAATGGATGCCCTAGAACCTTCCAGTATCATCCAGGACAGAAAATCCATCAGAATTTCCTCTCTACTTTTGCTGCAGATTACAAGGTTGGATTGAGTTTTGTATTGGCTGTTCTATCTCTGTGTTCCAACTTAATCTGTTACGATGCAAAGGCCAGGCCCTCTACCCTTGCCTGATGGTCTGTCTTTTCCCATTCGGCATGGGGGTTCAGATGCACCCTGCTCTTGGGGCAAACGAGAAAGGCCAGCGGTGTGGCATGGGATGGTTCTCCAACCCTGTGAAAAAGTGTGGGTGCCTTCCAGATCCCCATACCTTTCCCTCCCCACCTCTTATATCCAGGCCCTAATGGCCTGACAGAGTTTTAAAGGACTGTCTGAGGGAACATAGTACCAATCAACTCTAACTGGGTTTTCTTTGGCTTTAAAAAATGTCTTATTAAAACTTTGCTGACTTTACGGGGATCGCCATGTTTAATGAGAGGCCTCAAAGAATCTGAAAGCAAGAGATGAGGAAAGGAAAAAAGCCATAAGCTGTAATCACCATAATTATACAATCCCATGATGAGTTGAAAGCAGCCCTGGTAAAGCCTGAGAGAAGAGGGAGTGTCATTTACAATCATGCTGGTCTTCAGGACAGCTGGAAAGAATGTGACACGAGAGCCCTTCCTTCCCCTGAGTTGGGCTGAAGATAAGTCCTCAAGGCAGAGCCCAGGAGGAGGGGGTGCCAGAAGGGCAGTTTCTCCCTGGTCCAAGGCCTCTGGAGCACGTTCTGCTCCCGGCCACGTGGAGACGGTGCAGGAGCAGCCTGCGCCCCTGAAATCGGCAACTGGCCCTGGGCGAAAGGCAACTGGCTTTCTCATCCTTGCTGCTTTCAAAAAAGCGCCCTTTCTGGATGGGAAGGAGGACAGGCCAAGCTTTCTCCAACTCAGCGCCAGGGTCCCCCACGCACGAGCCCACCCCGGCTGTGCTCAGCCCGACTGCATGACCGCCGCTCAGCTTGCCCTGTGCCAGCAGGCATCTGTGTCCTCTGCTCGCTGACCTCCTTTCAGCCCTTCAGGGGAGAGAGCCCTCTTGCCAGAGCTCAGCTGCAGCAGCAGCGATTGGCTTAAAGCAAAACCAACACACACACAAAAACACCCACCCAACAAAACAAAAGGCAAGGATGACATGTGAAGGGCAGTAATTCCGCTCCTTGACAGTTTCCCTTGCTTGGCTTGTGTCATCATCTGGCTTTTTCTCCCTCAAGGCAGAGGCTGATCTGACTCTTGGATCCCTCTCCTCCAATCTCAGCAAACTCCCTCCATATGATCCATTCTCCTTTTCTAAGACTTATTTATAAACCACAGACTAAAATGCAGTAGGATCCATTTAACAAATATTTAATGCATCAGAGGATTCCAGCTAAAAGAGAGGATGGAGGGGTGCCTGCGTGGCTCAGGTGGTTGAGCAGCCGACTCTTCATTTCGGCTTAGGTCATGATCTCAGGGTCGTGAGATCGAGCCCCGCATTGGGCTCCATGCTGGGCATGGAGGCTGCTTAAGATTCTCTCTCTCCAGGGGCGCCTGGGTGGCTCAGTCGGTTAAGCGGCTGCCTTCGGCTCAGGTCATGATCCCAGGGTCCTGGAATCGAGCCCCGCATTGGGCTCCCTGCTCAGCGGGAAGCCTGCTTCTCCCTCTCCCTCTGTCTGCCACTCTGCTTACTTGTGCTCTCTCTCTATCTCTGTTCAATAAATAAATAAAAATCTTTAAAAAAAAAAAGATTCTCTCTCTTCCTCTCTTTCTGCTCCTGCCCCATTTCTCCCTCTCTCTCTAAAAGAAAAAAAAAAAAAAGAGAGAGAGAGAGAGAATCCAATGCAGAAGGCTGCTCTATGATACCCTTGGCCATTCAGCTTCTGCACGTTTCCAGGGAGCTTGGTGATCCTCAAGGTGACATACCCCACTGTTGGAAAATTGCTACTGTTATTCTCCAGCAGGGTGGCCTTCCCTGTATCTTCTACCTAGTTCTTCTAGCTTTGTCTGAAACCACCCAGAAAGGTCCACTTACTGTGGAAGACAAGCACAAATTTATCTCATGATGGTTATCTAGTCTCCTGAGGGGCTAGACATCTCTACCCCACCCGACATGGCTTCCTCAGTTACTTTCTTCGAATTTTCCCTAGATTGTTCAAGTTCCTGACAAATTGTGGGGGCTTAGAAGCAAGACTCAACACAGTCTAGAACAACACGAAAGCAGTGAGACATTTTTCTCTTTTGGTCGTTCCACTTTGGGTATTATAGCCTAAAGTAGCTTTTCTCTTTTTTAACGCAATTGCATCTTGCTTTTGCTTATATGAAGCTTGTAGCCAACTACAACCCCAGAATTTTTTTTTTTTTACTTGAATTACAGCAAAGGCTATGAATGCCATCCTATAGTTATGAGGCTGAATTTTTTTTAACATAAAACTTATCTTGTTAAATTTTATGTAGTTGTTTTTGACCCACCATCCCCACCTGAAGGAGATACTCTTCAAATAGAATTCCACTGTCTACCAAATGAACAATACCTTGCAGGTGCTGATCTGTGAATATGACTGATGTGTTCTCTCTTCATCTGAGTCCTCAAAAAGGATGTCGATAGGACCAGGCCATGTGGCCCACCACCAGAAACTGCCTTTCCGGTTGACACAGATCTATAAATTCACCCTCTTACCAGTCATTAAGGTGCCATGAATACACTGGCTTTACCCAGTTCTGGGAAGGGGTCGGGGGGGGGGGAC